GCAAAGAGGCAAAGGCTATGTGCTGATCCAGGGAACATCTGAGCTCGGGTTTTCAAAGGCCCTCCTTTTCCCCAAGAGTCTCCAAGAGCAGGGTTTGAAGACCTCACTGGGGCTTGGCCAGGGTGGAGGGAGGCCCCTCCCTCAGGGCGCCGGGGTCTGTGCTCACAGAGTGGAGCTGAGACATAGGAGGACAAGGAAAAGGACCTGGAACAAGATGAAGACCCAGTCACAGCAGCGGCTGCAAGCCACCTGCCTGGTTGAGATGGAAACACTGATTCCAGCTCCAGCCCCCAGACAGGCTAAGAATATCCCAGAAAAGCAACAGCCACCACCCCCGCCCTTCTTGATCTGCTCCTACATCTGGAGTGCTATGCAGGGTGACAACAGGGGCAGGGAGAAGACAGGGTGGGGGGGGTGACGCTTGGGGTAGGCACGAAAGGTGGGGAAGGGGCTTGGTGGGGGCAGGACAAAGTGAACTGAGAAATAAAGCTACTGAAGGGAGCTGGAAGCATTGGAAAGGGAGAGCAGGGGGGTGACAAAGGAGGTGAAGGCAGGAGCTGGGGGATTGGGGAGAGAAGATCCAGGGCTGAGGATGAGGAGGGCTGGCATTGGTAACCTGAAAGGGAGACCAAGGCTTTACTAAGGAAGGAAGCAGGGCCTATGGCAAGGAAAAGGAGCTCCCAGCTCACCCTCATCCTCCCCCGACCCCTAAGCCTGGGCCTCCAGCATCTCAGCATCAGTCCCCTCTCTCCCTGACTCAGGGCACTTCTTCTTCATCGGTGCTTTCCACCCCCATTCTCTGTTCTAAGAAACCTCTATTTGGCCTCCTTGGTTAAGTCCTTCTAGCACGGAGCCTGCTGGAATGGGAAGGATGGGAGAGAACGTGGGGTCTCCCTCCTGACTGTGGGCAGTATCTCCTTTGTCAGGTTCATCTTTTCTCTCCGCTCATCCCCTGTCCCCACTCCGCACTGTTGCCTGGGGAAGGTTCTCCCTCCACTGCCCCCCTCCACCCCAGCTCTCCTGGGCTAAGGTCTTTGGGAGAGGGAAGGAAGGCCGGGCAGGTGCATATCCTCCCCCTTTGCACACCTCAGGAGCTGAGACCCTGGGGTGGGGATACTGGATCAGTGAAGGGGTGGGGGCAGCAGGATCCAGGCATTCAGATGTCCAGGCTGAGTCTCCACACAGGCTGTTCTAAGAACCTTCCTTGTCATCAGCCTCTCTGTAGGGGCCCCTTGAAGACAAAGGATGCAATGACTGTAGGTTGTGGGGCCTCTAGCCTTAATGTTTACTGGGGAGACCCTGCACCACCTTGGCATCCCATCCTTTGTCTCAGAACTTTTCAGGGACCCCAATAAACCCTGGAGGGACCTAGGGAGATTTGCATGACTGTGAACTTGAGCACCCTCCCCCTCGTCTCCTGGCCTGAACTGCAGAAGGCCTCACGATGCCGGATGCCATGCACACAAAGCCTGAGCCCATCAGGCAGAAACAGACTAGGGAGAACCAGACAGGGCTGGAGCTAGAAAATGAAACAAATTCATAGCATGGGTTTTATTTAGAGTCAGAATTGTAGAATGGGAAGAGGCTTTAGGAATCTTTTTTTTTTTAAGTCCAATCCCCAAGATGTTATCTGATGTCTTTAATATTCATTTTGTCCAATAATGAAAGTAACATATATATAGAATCCCTGCATTTTAATAGGAAGAAAAGGAGGCCCAGAGAGCTGAAATGACTAGAACCCCTACCTCCTGCTTCCTAGACTATGGTCTCTCCAAGAAGGAGCCAAAGGGCAGAGCAGTCTGAGCAGCGTTCCCTGGAGATGTTCCCTTAAAGATGGGGCTCATCTTCCCAGGGTGGGTCAGTGAAGGGCCCATCTCTAAGGTGGAGTTGGTGGTAATCCTCATCGATAAGGCTGCATTCCTACACAGGCTGATACCCCGGTCTAAGCCTTCCAATTCTTGGTCTAGACCTACAGATCTTGCCTTAAAGAGCCTGCAGGAATAACCATTTATCTGGACAGGGCACTGTTCTAGGTAACCTACCGAGTGATGGAGATAGACAAGGAGCCTGGCCTGGGTGGGTGGGTGGGTTCTCAGCTAAGGGGAGTGTAATACAGCCAGCCCTGTACCAGAGGAGCACGCACATCCATGAGAAATGGACAGATGAGAAGTGACATACAGAACCTAATACAGATAAATGAATCAATCAGAATATAGACCCTAAACATCACCCACCTAGAAAAGTACACTTGCAGATGTGGTGGGGAAGGCACTGCCCTTCTGTAAAGCCTACCTTCTCCCTGGAGTCTTTCTGGTTTCACTGTGCTTATTCCCCTTGGCCTCCACCCTCTCTCCTCCATTAATTTTTTTTAATAACAGAAATGTTGTTATTTTTTTATGAATCTGTTTTGACTATTTTGTCTGCTTCCTTTAAAAATTTCATCCATATTCATTTTGCACATCTTTGACTCAGGACTCAGAGCCCAGCCCGTAAACAAGTTGTTATGTAGCAGCTGCTGTTGGGGAAAGAGATTAGAAAGACTCGTGTCAGGAAGGGCACTATGTCCCTTGCAATCAGTCCAAATAGGCTTCTTGGAGGAGGTGATTTTCAAGAGTTTGACAGAAGAAGGCAAGGTAGCGGTTTGAGGAAGGGTTCTGGCCCAGTGGTAAGAGCTCAGAGATTCGAGAGGGATAACCAAAGTAGGAGGGTGGAAAGTGTGAGCCAGAGAGAGGGACCAATGTGGGACAAGGTGAAGAATAAGAAGGGAAGTAAGACCTTTTAAGGCACGTGTTTGGGGACCCTGAAGCAGGGAAGAGAATTCTTGATTCTGACCCAGAGGAAAGTAGGAGGTCACAATTGAGCCTGGAGTGGGGGTACCATGGTGGTGACATCTGTGGGAGCTGCATAGATGGAAGATCTTGTCCTATGTGACACCAGTAATAGACCTTAAGTCAATGAGGGACTCCTGGGAGTAGAGCTGGGAGGACCCACGTGCCATTCAGATCCACATGTTTCTGCTAGGGCCACTCAGTCTCTATGGGACGTGTCCTTAATTACTGGTGAGCCTACTGTTCCTTGGGTGTCAAATAAAGGCTGACTCAGAAGGCCTTGTAGGAGGAAGTGGGACCAATTACAGGAGCTGAAAAGAGGGAACAATTTTTTGCAACTAGGGGGAGAAGGAGAGGTTGGATAGGTCAGCTCAGGCTGCAAGGGAATAATAATCAGATCTCAGGGGAGCAAGAGACACCCTGCTGAGAAGTGAACATTGGGTGCTGAGTCAGGAAGGGGGTATAAGACTGTGTGTGTAGGGGGGTAAAGAGATAGGGAATCAAGACAAGACCATAAGCCTCCAGGAAGGTGTGAGTGAGCAGGGGCTGTGGGAGAGCTGAGAAAAGCTTGTGCTTCCAATGGCAGCAGCTGCAGCCTAAGGGAATTCTGGAACAGCCTATATGGAAGGAAGCACACCCACACATGTGCATCACACAAACCAACAGCAATGGTCCCTGGAAGTCATTTTGGTGGTCTATGAAGAACACAGAGGTGACTCTAGGGATAATTCTGAGGGGTTTCCTGAATCCATAGCAGGGGCTTCTCTCCCCATCATACCCACCTCCAAAGCCCACTTAAAAAGTTGGAAGACTTCTGTGTTGGGGAGCTACAGGGAGCAAGCCTGGAGAAGGGTGGACACTGTCCTATAAGGCAGGTAGAACAGCCTCAGGACCAGCTGGGCTCAGACCTGCAGGTAAGGCCCAGAGGACAAAGGCCTGTGAGTGCTGAGGAGGGAACAGAGAGAAATGGGCAGGACCTAGCCTAATAGCTTGCAGCTGGGAGTGGGGACAGCTGGGACCTAAATGGCAGGAAGAATTTAACAATGCAAACTCAACTCAACCTGGATCCAGGGCTAAGCTGGAGATTGGGTCAACCCTCTTGGGCCTCCCTCTGCACAGGAGGTCCCATCTCCTGTCTGAGCCTGAGACCAGCCCATCCACCCAATTTCCAGCACTTCCCCAGGAACCAATCATCACCCACCCAAGTGTGGGGTCAGGGTGTGTTGGTGGGGTTAGAACAGAAGAGGAGCTACCCAGGGACCAGAGGCTAGGGCCTCTCCCGACAGACTCAGCTGCAGAGAATCAGGCCGGGCATAAATCTGAGGGTCTGGCCGCCCCCAGAGCAAAGGCCCCCAAGGAGGGAGCTTGTGACCTGCAGGTAGGTCCGAGCCCCACCAGGACCGCGTCACGGGTAGAGCAAGAAGACACCTACTGGCACTCCCCCACAAGCACCACCATGGTGGCCGCATGGGATGAAGGGAGGAGAGGAGAGCTAAGAGATAATCGACCTATGGCCAAATTGGAGAAGCCAGAGCAGTTCGACCCAGCAGGTGCTGGGGCGCCCTGGTGAAGGCACTCACTACCCACGCTGCCCCCAGCACATAATCAAAAGGGGGGAGAGGTTGTTCCCGGGCTTCTCTGCTACCGCGATCCAGTACATCAAAACAAGCTGACCCAGGGCCTTAGGACTTGGGGCGCGGGGGAGGATGTGAGGGGGAGTGAGAGCAGCCAGACCCCTCTCCCCAGCTCTGACCCTGAGGAGGCCCTTCGAACCAGGGCCACCTCCTCCTCCTTTCCCCTTTCTGGTGAAGGGAAAGGACCCGAGACAGAGGGTGGGGGGCGGGACTTGAGATTGGCATGCGAGCTCCTATTGGTCAGAGGAGCTGCCGGTCAGGAGGGCAACTCGGGCGAGGATTGGCTGCGTGAGGCGGGGCGCGGCGCGGCTAAAGACGGGGTCCAAGGGGTGGGGCTGACGCTGCAGCTGGCGCAGCTCAGACTCCGAGCAACCGCCGCCGAGCAGCCAAGCAACCACCCTCCCCTGCCAGTTCCCGCGCCCGGGCCGGGGCTAGGCCCCCCACCGCCGGGTCTCCGGGGGCTGCAGCAGCGGCGGCGGCGACAGCGGCGCCGCCCGCGGTTCCCACCGGGGCCCGGGCGCCGGCCCCGCTCTGCAGGATGGGCACGGTGCTGTCTCTTTCCCCCGCCTCTTCGGCCAAGGGCCGGAGGCCCGGCGGGCTGCCCGAAGAGAAGAAGAAAGCGCCGCCCGCGGGGGACGAGGCGCTGGGGGGCTACGGGGCGCCGCCAGCAGGCAAGGGCGGCAAAGGCGAGAGCCGACTCAAGCGGCCGTCAGTGCTCATCTCGGCGCTTACCTGGAAGCGCCTGGTGGCCGCGTCTGCCAAGAAGAAGAAAGGCAGCAAGAAGGTGACGCCCAAGCCGGCGTCCACTGGCCCCGACCCCCTGGTCCAGCAACGCAACCGCGAGAACCTTCTCCGCAAGGGCCGGGACCCCCCAGACGGCGGCGGCGCCACCAAGCCACTGGCGGTGCCGGTGCCCACCGTGCCCGCGGCCGCCGCCACCTGCGAGCCGCCGTCGGGGGGCAGCGCGGCCGCCCCGCCGCCGGGTTCGGGCGGGGGAAAGCCGCCGCCGCCGCCACCCCCAGCCCCGCAGGCGGCGCCCCCGGTGCCTGGCGGCTCGCCGCGGCGGGTCATAGTGCAGGCGTCCACCGGCGAGCTGCTGCGCTGCCTGGGCGATTTCGTGTGCCGACGCTGCTACCGCCTCAAGGAGCTGAGCCCGGGCGAGCTGGTGGGCTGGTTCCGCGGAGTGGACCGCTCGCTGCTGCTGCAGGGCTGGCAAGACCAGGCCTTCATTACGCCCGCCAACCTGGTGTTCGTGTACCTGCTGTGCCGCGAGTCGCTGCGCGGGGATGAGCTGGCGTCGGCCGCCGAGCTGCAGGCCGCCTTCCTCACCTGCCTCTACCTCGCCTACTCCTACATGGGCAACGAGATCTCATACCCGCTCAAGCCCTTCCTCGTGGAGCCCGACAAGGAGCGCTTCTGGCAACGTTGCCTGCGCCTCATCCAGCGGCTCAGCCCCCAGATGCTGCGGCTCAACGCCGACCCCCACTTCTTCACGCAGGTCTTTCAAGACCTCAAGAACGAGGGCGAGGCTGCCGCGGGCGCCGGGGGTCCACCCAACGGGGGCGCGCCCGCGGCCCCCGCCTCCTCCTCGGCCGCCAGGGACAGCTGCGCGACCGGAGCCAAGCACTGGACTATGAACCTGGACCGCTAGGGATTCCCAAGGGCCGCGCCCGCCCCCCACCCCAGCCCCTGACACGCACTCGGAGCCCCCGGGACCATCAAGCCGCCGCCAATGTTACCGCCGCTCCGTGCCGTGGCCGGAGGAGGAGCCGCCCCTGTCCCGCAGGGGAAGGTGGAGGCCAGGACGCCAGAGGCCACGGCTCTGGATTTGCTGGGCATAGGGTGGGGGTGGGGGATGAGCGCGGGAGGGGGACCCCCAACCTCACCCTTTCTGTCTGCCTGTGCCCCCATCTCTCCAATTCTACCCGGGTCTCCTCCTTCCCTTCCATGTGTATCTGTAAGTCCATCTCCCTCGGTTTTGACCATTTCCTCGCCTCCTTCCTGTATCTTCATCTTTCCTCCTGTCTGCCTTCCCATCTCCCTCTCTGCCTTTCCATTTTCCGTACCTCGGGTGTGTATTTCCATCTCCATCTTACCCCCTACCTGACTATCATTGCCCCCCTTTCTCATTCTGCACCTGTGTCCCCATTTCCCCTTCTCGTTCTCTTTTCCTTGCTCCTCGCATGTGTCACCATCTTCCCTCCTGTCTGCTTATCCCCCCCCCCCCCCCGCCTATGTCAGCTTGCATTTTCCCCCTACTGAACTCCCATATCCCCTTTCCCAGACCAAAGGGAATATTAATTCTTGATTTGGACTGACTTCGGTGCAGCGAGAAACTGCAGCCCCAGGAGCCCAGACAACCACCAGGATGGTCCTTCGCCCCACCCCCACCTCCTCTCCCTACCTTTTCCAACGTGTTGCATGCCGGGAGTTGGGGGGGAAGGGAGATGCCGGCTTCAGGAGACTGAGGTTTGGGAGCAAAATCAACCTAGGAGGCCACCCCGGCGGCGGCGGCTCCTCAGCGGAAGGGCGGGAGGAGACAGAAACTCTTCTTACTCTGGGGGAGGGGTACCCCTCTTCCCTATCCTTAGGTGTTTTTTTTCTCCCCTTTTAATTTATTTGGTTGTTTCCAGAGGGAGGGGGGAGGGGTGGGTGTTGGGCCGGGAGCTGTCTGAGGTGCTGATTTGAGGCCGGACCGGAATCTTCCCGGGAGGGTACCAGGGACTGGGTTGGGCCTGGTGCCGTGTCCAAGGTGCCAATGATGCGGGCCGACGGCGCGGGCTGCACTGTCTGTCTGTCCGTCTGTCCCAGAGAGAACTATAAAGCGCTGGAAGCGCCTGCAGATGGTTTTGCGCCGGCCTTTCTTTGGGCCCCGGGAGGGAGGGAGTGGGATTGGGAGTGAAACAGTCACAGATAGGGCAGGAGGGCCCCCATGGGCCTAGTGGGGAAGATGGGTCCCTGAGAACTGCTACTCTTTCCGTCCCCCCGCCCCCACATTGGCTTCCATTTTACTGAGAGTAAAGTAGCCAAAGGTTGAGGCCTGGTGATAAAGCTGAATCCCCTCACACATTACTTCTCCATCTTGTCTCATCTAGCTCTTCATTCATGCGCAGGCCATTTAGGGATTAAATGATGAGGACAGCAAAAGTTGTACCCTTTACAAAGTGGTCTATTGAGGTAGAACTAGCTACCTCTTCTTTTCTCTTTTCCTCCATCTCTCCCCACTATATATACTGTCTAGAGTCTAGTTAGGCCTGACTAAGCCCGTGCTCACTACTCTCGGGTGGGGCCTGACTGTCACACTCAGCTCCACGCCCCTCCTCCAAACTCCTGGGTTGTTTCAAGGCCATTTCAGTCACACCCCCACCCAGGATAGCCTTGGGAAGTCCATCCCTGCTTAAGATTCAGACCTAGCCCTTTATCCCCAGGGAGGCTAGGACACAGGCAGCCTGGGAGACAGGGGCCATTCTTAGGGATTGAAAGAAGAGAAATAAGCTTTTAGCCTGAGATTTCTGTCCCGTTGCCTTTTTCGCCACGTGGCTAAGCGCCCCATTCAGTTTCATTGGCCCAAGGAGGCCTGGCTCCAGTAGAGCGCTGGCGTCTCTGACCCTAGTCGCCGCCTAGACCTCGAGGATCAGGAGTCAGAACCCCGCGGCTTGAAAGACTAGGCCCGGGTTCGCTGTCCGTGGTGCTGACCGGCGCGCTGGGGCAGGGTGGGGGCTTGCGGGGGCGGGAGGAGTTGCAGACTCGGCTTCACCTAGATTTTCTGAATAATTTGGGAGCAGGTTGTGATCTCTTCTGATGGCGAGTTGCAGGCGTCTGGCCCGAGAACCCAAGAACGCCGGCTTCCATTTGCCCTCCTAAGAGGACAGACCGCGACTCTACCCCGGCCTCGGCCCAGCGCCCTTGGACCCGGCCTGGAGCCGGAAATCTCCAGTCCAGATTTGTGAATCGAATTCCCGGGGGGGAGGGAGGGGAGAAGAGGGAGAGCTGGCGGAAGGGAAGGCGGGAGCAGCCGCCCATTGGCTGGAATTTGGCGCAGTCAGCGCGGTGCCGTCATCTTTCTGGGTTTGGGAGGAGGGAGGGAGGAGCACTTGGGTCACCCCGCGGCTGTCGCCATAGTAACCAGACTGAGCGGGCGGGGCCACCTTTCCACTCTCCCCACACTAGCGGAGGAAACAATCTTAGGCTGCCTTATTTAGAACTTGTTAGCAAGACTACTTGATTGGAACTTATGCGTTAGAAGAGTCTAAAGTGGGTGGGAAAGAGAGACCAGAGGGCCTATCGAGACCCCCCCAAACATCCTGCTCTTGGCGAGATCGCTAGGTACTGCCCCTGAACCCCTAGACACAGCATCCTCCCTTTGCCACACACACACACCTCCAGGAACCTGTGGTCTGGCACTTGGAGACTTAGAATGAGAAAAAAGCCTCAGTGCTTGGTGTCAAATTAAATCTCACTTTCCTTGCCATGCCCCAAGGCATGAGACACCGCCATAATCCGATTAGGGAGTAAGCGACTGGAGGAGGATCAGCATGAATACATGGAAGAATTAGCCTCCTGGGTCAAACCTGGTCAGACTCTTGTTTTGTAAGGGAGGGGTGGTCACATGGAGAAAAGTTGTCTTCTGAGAAGGCAAGGTGAGAAGGGAGAAAGTGCAGAAACAGAGTAAGGTGCCTTCTCTTTACCGCCCAGAAGTGAACCTCAGGGAAGTGAGTCCAGGCTGAGGAAGGTAGTGGTGAAGAGGGCTCAGAGCTCTACAAAGAGCCCAGCTTGGGTGAGGGGCTGACTGAGGAAAGAATGGAGATGGAAAATAGGATACAGAAACACAGCTGGAGCCATGACTCAGCACTTCCCCTGGCAAAGGACTGGGGTGGCTCTCCCAGCACAAGAGCAGCAGAGACGGGAGGGAAGCAGGAAAGCAAATGTGTGGATAGACAGTGATCTGACCATTTGTTGCATGGATATACAACCAAAGGCACACAATTTAACCCAGAGAGCAGGTACATATACATTTATACTGATGAAGGCTCCTTCAGACATAACATGTACACATCTCCACTGCCTACTTCCCTGCCCCTCTTCCTGGAGCAGAGGACATTCTGTCCTGAGAGCTATGCTTGCCTGTCCCTGTAATACCTTGGTACTTAATGGGAAAGGAGAAATGAAAAAAAAAAATCGCAGACGTGGGGGCGGGGGTGTTGGTTGTCATGGTAACTGCTTTGCCTGCCAGACAGAGTGCCCAGCAACCAGAGCATCTGGCAATATCCAAGGGGATATCCTGTGGCCTTTACCTATGGGGACTCTGCCTCAGGCCCCCAGATGGGCATCTCTGGAAGATTTTGACAACAGAGGCTGCCACAGCAACCCCTTCCAGCCACATCACCTTGACCAAAGACAGGTGACAGCCAGGTTTGGAGGGCTGACCGTCTTTGCATGCCCCACTTTAAGTGGTACTCCTGATCCCTTTATACGTGATAAACAACATTTGCTGTCAGTGACCTCAAGACAGCAGGTGTTAACACTTTAAGGACCTTCATTAAGACTGTTACCTTCCCTCTGAACACCTTGCTAAACACCCTACAAGAAGGTCATGTATATCCACACAGGCTAGGTGTGTAAATGCGGGCTAGGAAAATTGTTTTAGTTCGGTAATGAAAGATTGGGTGCAAAATAGATAAACTGCAGGGGATAGTCTCAGGATTCAATACATTAGTTGGCCTTAGTTTAATACATTGATGAGGTTTAGAGTCAGTCTCTCTGTTGCACTTACAGGCAACACCCACCTCTATTTTTGTTTTTTCTTTCCTCTATCTTAGGTTTAACCTCTTAGTTTCTGGATTAAAATTCCCCCAATCTAGATTAAGCTTTCATGTTTTTCTTTCCCCCTGGATTTTTTCCACTAGTTCTTTAGTAATTAGCTGCTCCTAGGGTCTCTTTCTATTTGGAGATATTGCCCACAGTAGTAACTCCCCTTTCTTAAGACTTCCCCTCCCCCCTTTCTTTACACCCCTTGGTCATAGTCTCCTGTGATTGATATTTATCTTCAAGTCCGTAAATCATAAAATTAGTTTCTCTGTGTGCATTTTCACATATGACCACCTAAAAGGAAAGAGGGGTTATCACCCATTCTGTTATAATCTTTCAACATTTTACTCCTTAAAAAAAATAATTTACATATGATCCCAGAAAAACACAGAATATCAAGTAAAGCATAAGAAAGAAGAGTAATGATGGCGGGCTTGCCCTACCAGGTACTTAAATGTATTATAGAACTAAGGTAGTTAAAAATATATGGCACTGACTTAGGAATAGAAAATAGAACAGAATAGATATTCCAAAGCTGAACTCTGGCATACATGGGAATTTAATATATGATAAAGGCACCATTTCAAATCCACTGGGAAAGATGCGTTAGTCAGCATATGGTTTTGTACAACTGGGTAGTCATTCATATGAAGAGAAAAGGTCAATTTTTCCTTATTCTTTACCCCAAAATAAATTCCAGATTTTTTTAATGTAAAGGGAAAAGCTATAAAACCCTTGTAAGAGGAGACAGGTTTTTTTTAAAGATTTTATTTATTTATTTGAGAGAGAGAGCTCCGCTGAGCAAGGAGCCTGATGCTGGATTTTGTGAGCCAAGGCAGACGC